GTCAATGAGAGTACCAAAATCATTACCTATTATACCCTTACCAATTATTTTACCTTTCTTGGTGTCGCCAAAATTTACTAAGCCACCATCCTTGTTGAAAAGATTCACAAACTTGGATTGGTTTCCCGTCATGTGTCTTGAGCAACCACTGTCCAAATACCACTTATTTTTGGAGGCTTTCAAATAAACCTATAAGCAAAGATATTCAAAATTGACTTTTTGGTACTCATATTTGTTTGGGTTCTAACAAGTTAGGTTTCACAAATTTAGAAATCATGTTTGCATTCATACTAAAAAACTTATCACACGAGAAAACAAACAACGTCATGTAGGAATTTATTTCTTGGACTAGGTTTATGTATTCTATTTTCAATAGAAAAATTATTTCTTAAAAAATTGTTAAATTTTATATTTTGAGAAAATTTTCTTCCATGTTTTGAGAAATTTTCAATTTAAATCAATGAGGTCTAATATGACCTTCAACACCACAATAATGACATATAGGCACAAATCTAGATTTATCATATTGGGATATAAATTTGCATGTGTTAGGTGTACGATAATGGGAGATACTTTAACAAATATTGTTTTAGAACTTGTAGAGTAGAACATTCATCAATATAGCATAATCCTCTTTTATCCCCCACAAGGGTTACCCGCTTCAATTATTTTATCTAATTTTTTAGCACCTATAGTTAACTTTTTAATAGACTCTTAGCCTTAACAAGTTCTTGCATAGTATTTAATTCCGTTTCGTTGAGTAATTTAATTAACTTATATTTTTCATAACAATCATGCTCAAAAAATTTAATTTTATCATGCAGTTTTCTCATTACAATCAAACACGTGCTTTTACGGGTATATCAAATTTTACAACTTATGATTATTCTCTTTTAAGAAAAAAAAAACATTTAATAAAGACTTATTTTTAATAATTGAAGCCTTATATTCCTTTTGAAACATGAACTTCTCAATCAAGTTGCATCTCCTCAAAAACTTTAAATAATTCATTATAAGGAGATTCACAAATTACCTCATTTTCTTCATCCTCTTTGTCACTATGAGCCATGAAGCAAAAATTTGCGACTTCTCCATCACTTGCACTTTCATCACTATCATCCCAAGTATTGGGTTTTATGTCCTAAAACTCATAGTTTGTAAACAAAGATATATTCTAATTTCAATAAAGTTATTATTGATGTTTATTCAGTAAAAATTGTTATTGAATAAAGTGAACTTTACGATCATTAATCTAAATCCAATAAACTAAGAACACTCTGGCTATAGTATGATTACTTGAACTATATGTAGAGACATAAGAGTGGATCAAGTTCAAGTATATAGTCAAAATGATCTATAGTATAAGGACAAGGCTGAGTACCTTATTCTGGGGACACTATGGATGCGGCCCACTTTTGTATATGATATAAACAATGTGATCACTAAATTGTGCATGTGGAGACATGTGAGTGGGGGCGTCCTATGCAATGAGTATTGCATAAGATCGGACCATGAAGAAAACCACTCTCACTTTATAAAGTCGTTTACTGTTGAGACTGATTTTCTTTTCATTCGATAACCTAGGTAACTCGGTTTTAATCCTGAGCTAACCATGAACTCCTGTTTATTCGGAATTATCCTTAGATTTGCATGGGTGAGAGTGGCTCTAGTTCGCCGACTCAACAGACCTTCCATTTCAGGGGTAAGACTGGGTGAATGGCTGGGGACGTGGGGTGCAAGACGGAACTCACTCCTACCCACTTTTAGGGATAGAAGAAAGGTAGTTCCCTTAAGCACTGACTCCAAGTCTTGAACAAGGGGCCCCACCCTCTCATTGGCCTGAGAGGGATTCGGTTTACTGGTTGGACCACAAANGTGCAACTACTAGGCTATAGTGGAGTGTCCTAGTAGTTAACGAATGTTGGTTAACCAGGTTAATGAGTTTAATCGGTTAATCTTGGATCGTTGGAGCCCATGATCTATAGGTCCATTAGGTCCCTCTCCTAGCTCATATCGGACTAAACCATAGAACAGTGTGACGAGTGAGTTCGAAGTGTTCGAATTCAAATTAAGGAATATGCGTTACATATATACGATATATTTAACCGCAATTTTGTTTTATTTACGAATTAAACGAAACGAGAGAATCTCAGATATTTAAATAAGATTTAAATATCTTAATCAATTATGTGTCGGAATTGATTGGGATTGACATTTGAATTAATATTAAATATTAATTAAATAGTTTAATTAATCATTTAATGTTACTTTAATTTGAAATTCATTATTCAAATTAATTGTTGAATTAAAATGAAGAAAGTCAAAATGTTGACTTTCATCTAATGGAAAAATCCATGTTAGTGGAATTTTGAGGTATCAAAATTTGGTTTAACCAAACTTGCATGTTTGCCAAATAAACCCCACAAGTTTGAGTGGAATTTTGAGTGTCAAAATTTGGTTAACTCAAACATGCATGCTTGCCACATAATCCCAAACATTTGCCTGGAATTTTAAGTGTCAAAATTTGGTGATCTCAAGTTTGCATGAACATGCAAACTTGACTCTTTAAATAGAGTGATCATGATACTTGGATGGGATTCTTCATCTTGATGAAAAACCTTGAGAAAAACTTCTCACAAACACTCTCTTTCACATATACAAAATCCCTCCCAAGTTTAGTCACTCACCGGATTCCACAATCCCGTTCTAAGGCCGGAGGATAGTGGAGAAGACACTAGTGGTGGTTCGAAACCGGTTCGTGAGGCAAAAGGAGTTTGAACTACAAAAGGCTAGTATTTAAACTCATTAAGTTTTAATACTTATGAACATGCTAGTAATTTACAATAATTGATGTTCTATAAGTGCCTAAGATCCAAATTGCTTCCGCATGTGTTATATTAACACCATCACCAAGTAGCCTTCATTGCTTTCTTCCAGGATTTCTTAGATAATTTGAGAAGGGGACAATCCGATCTTATATGACCCAACTTTTTACATTCATAACATATCGACCTTTTACATTCATAACATATTATTATCTCATCATGTTTGCTCTTCTCACCTTTTTGGTGGGTGAAATGTATCCTAAATTGTTTCTTTCTTTTGATGAAATTTTTATACTTAGTAGGCAACATCATCTTCAACAAGGGCTTCCTCCGAAGTCAACTTCCAATGTGATGGACTTTAGGGCTATACTTTACTTCTTTTTGGATTCCTCTTCTATGCGCTCCTTCATGGTAATCTCATGCGTCATGAGAGAACCAACAAGTTCATCCAAAGAAAGCTTTGTAAGATCCTTTGCTTCTTGAATTGCGTCACTTTTGCTTCCCACTTTTAGGCAGAGACCTACGAATTTTCCTGACATTTTTGGTAGTAGAATATACTTTTACAAGATTTTTCAAAACATCTAGAATATTAGTAAATCTAATAAACATATCATCTATATAAATTCATTTCCATCAATATTAAATAGTTCATAATTATGAACTAACATGTTAATGTTTGTTTCTTTAACTTGATTTGTTCCCTCACGAGTTACTTCAGAGAGTTTTTCAAATTTCATATGCTGATAGATACTCTATTAAATTCATCATTACTTAGGGCACAATAAAGACAACATTAAAAGAACATTTTTTTTCATACCATGCTCATCAAATTCATCCTCCATTTTAAGCTCCTTAATGTTATCAAAGATTTTTATTGGAATATAATGGCCTTTACTAACATTTGACCATAATTGATAATTAATCGATTGCAAATAAATTTTAATTCTAACCTCTTTCGGATACGTATAATTAGTTCCATCAAAATGAGGAGGTCTAGAAGTTGATTGTCATTCACAAAAACAGTTTTTAAGAGGTAGATTTTCCATAAGCTCTAAAAATAAAGTTTATATAAAAAAAGTCAATAAGAACAACATGATGCCCATTGTTGGATCCATATGTCAATCCTAGCGGTGAATATGGTTTCAATGATTAAATTTTTCTAATAACAATAAAACTTAATACTAAATTTAAATAGGAAAAGGGTCGGAGAATATAACACCCTATTTTTAGACGGTTTGGTCAAATACGGTGGTTTGGTCAAAATCGACTACTTCACTCTACAAGCGCCTCCTTCAAATTTGAATAAACCTTTCTGCACTCTTTACTTGAATCAGAGCCCGCTTATAAATTTGAATAAACGTTTCTTGACTTTTTCCTTAGATCAGAGCCCAACTGCTACACCGCTCTTTTTACGAGTTTTCTTGGATCATAGCCCGCTTGGAAATTTGAATAAACGTTTCTTGACTCTTTTCTCGGATCAGAGCCCAACCGCTACACCGCTCTTTTCACGAGTTTTCTCGGATTAGAGCCCAACCGCTACACCGCTTTTTTTACGAGTTTTCTCGGATCAGAGCCCGCTTGGAAATTTGAATAAACGTTTCTTGACTCTTTCCTCGGATCAGAGACCAACCGCTATACCACTCTTTTTACGAGTTCAAGAGCAAACTCAATCTTTTCCACGGCTCAGGATCAAATCGGTACGATTGTCTGAAATTTTATAGAAGATTTACAATTTTATCACTGAGTTCTGTCTAAAAAAAATAGGATAAACAAGAAATAAAATTGGAAGCTTTTTTAAATAGCAACCATGGAGGGTTTTAAAAAAAGTTTAAATGAACTTTTAAATTTAGCATGAAAAAAATTTAGCTTTAAACTTTGTTTTACTGACTGTAAAGGTACAATAGTTGAGAGAATAGATGAACAAGTGTTTTTATTATCGTGCCTGAATCTGGGGCAACGAATTTGATTCCATTGTTCACTCATAAACTAGACGTTGATTGAGAGCTTCTTCTTCTTCTTCTTCTCCTTCTTCTTCTTCTCCTTCTTCTTCTTCTTCTTCTCCATCACCCTTCCTCCATATTATCATTCTTTGTAAAGATTGAAATAAGCAACCACAAACACAGCAGCCCCAAGAGCCAAATTCACCATATTTGTCCTCAACCATTCTCCTCTTCTCACCCATTCACTCCCTTCTGCAACTCCACCTTCCTTCTCCCCCCTACCATGGCCGCCCCCTTCCTTCCCCTTCTCCCCCATTTTTGACCCAATTTCTTCCTTCCCCGTTCCTTCCCCTTCTACTCTCTTCTGCAATTTCTTCTTTGTATGTGCTTTTGCCTTCTCCTCTGTTTCTTCCTCTGTTCTGTCCTTCGCAGCTGAATCTTCAACCGGCTCTCCGCCTCCCGCGGTGGGCTTCTCGCCGGATTTTTGGGTACTCGCTGGCGCTTCGGCGGCTTCATGTGGCTTTAAAGGAGTGGCTCTTTGTTTCCCATTTGCCTGTGATTGAGGTCTCTCGTTTTGGCTCTTTGGGGTATTTGGTCGATCAGTTGGTTTTGCGGCGGTGGGCGGCGGTTGGGATTCCGCCTTGGGCTTCGGTGGCTGAGCCGGTGGGTTGTTGGAAGAGACGGCGGAGGTTTTTCTGGGCTGCGTCACGTAGAGGATGCCTTTCTCCAACTTGGCAGAGATCTTGCTTGAATCGGCATCTGCTGGGATAACGATTTCCTTGAGGAATCGGAGCCCCTTGCCGCTGGTGAGCCTCCGTTCGCCGGTGATCCTCAACTTTCCGGTGGATGTCACCTGAACTTTCAGATCGTTCCTTGTGAAATCTGCCGAAAAGATCCCAAATTTAATGGTAATTGTTAGACGAACACGACTCTCCACAATGATATGATGTCACCTGAACTTTCATGGCTTTACTTTAGCCTTGACCAACAAAAGACCTCGTATCAATGGAGAGTATTCTTTGTTTATAAATTACCTTCTTTATCTAACACTCAGTTGAAATTTTCCTAAATTAAAAATTGTTAGTGTTTTTAATCTTTTAATTTAATTTCTATTTTATTTTTAAGCTATTTGATTTAAAAGTATTAGGAAGATCTAATTAAGTTAAAAAAAATGAAGTTCTAACTCACAAAAGAAGGGGAGAATGTCAAACCTTTGAGGGTGACGGTAAGAACGTGAGACTCGGGATAATGTTGCCAATTGATTTGAGGCTCAATATCTTGAAAGTTTTTGGACGAAGAATCCATCGGCGTTGCGTTCGATTTTCCTTTCCGGTAATTCTAATTTCTCTTTGCTCTAACTTCTCTTGATGACGATTTCTTTCGATGTCTTCGTGGTAGTCTTTATATTGAATGGAGATCTTGATTCGAAACTGTTTTTGAAAACCTAGGAATTTCTTCGGGATTAGTAATTCCTTTGCTTGAAGCTTTCTTTGTGCTTCGGCCATGACGGTTGTTTTGATCTTCATTCGAAATCTGCTTCTGAAATCCGCCTCCTATGAAGTTGCGATCGCAAATAGGAATTTCTTTGGGACTAGTAATTCCTTCGCTTGAAGCTTTCTTTGTGCTTCGGCCATGGCGGTTGTTTGATGCAAGAGGGTTAAGAGATGTGTTGTTTTGGTCACTTTGTCCATTGGTAAAGCGAAGATTCTTTTTGTTTCTTTCTTCTACACTTCTCTTGTTAGTGGAGATTTCTTTTCTCCCTTGAAAACACTTAGTAATGTAATCTAAGCTTTGATTCAAGATATTGTAATTTGATAGGTCTCGTCATAATCATAATTTTTTCGTTTCGATTTCACCCCTTTTCTTAAAAAAAAAATCAATTGTTCTTTTGACGATGAACCACTATAGTACAACAAGCTTAATGTGTTGGATCGATATGGCAATCCTAGAGCGGGTGAAAAGGGTTTCAACAATCTTAAATTTTTCTAATAACAATAAAACTTAATACCATTCAATAAAATTTAATAATAATAATAATTTAGAATTTATAGAGGGAAAGGGTTAAATACGAAAAACGGTTAAATAGGAAAAATGTTAGAAAATATAACACCATAGTTTTATAATAGTTCGGTCCAACTCAACCTACTCTACTCCCTCAAGCGCCTATTGTGAATTTGAATAAACCTTTATGGACTCTTTCCACTTTCCTCGGATTAGAGCCCAACCGCTACAAAGCTCTTTTTACGAGTTCAAGAGCAAACTCAATCCTTTCCACGACCCAGGATCGAACCTTTCTTGACTCTTCCCTCAGATCAGAGCCCAACCGCTACACCGTTCTTTTTACGAGTTCAAGAGCAAACTCAATCCTTTCCACGACCCAGGATCGAACCTTTCTTGACTCTTCCCTCAGATCAGAGCCCAACCGCTACACCGCTCTTTTTACGAGTTCAAGAGCAAACTCAATCCTTTCCACGACACAGGATCGAACCTTTCTTGACTCTTCCCTCAGATCAGAGCCCAACCGCTACACCGCTCTTTTTACGAGTTCAAGAGCAAACTCAATCCTTTCCACGGCTCAGAGAATCAAACCGGTACAATTATTTGAAATTTTATAGAAACACTAACCCTCTGAAAGGTAGATTTACAATTTTATCACATTACAAACATCTCTCTCAAGAATAAGAAATAAAATTGGAAGCTCCAGAGAGAACAACAACGGAGCAAAATTGGAAGTTTGGGAGAGTAACATGGAGGCTTTTCAAAAAACAACCATGGAAGCTTTAAAACAAATTTAGATCGATGTGGAAGTTGTGTATTATGTTTTATGTTATGTGTGTTCTAATGAAAGGTAACGGGTTTAAATAGTGATGGAGTTGTAAAAATAGGAATTGATATAATAAAAAAAACGTTAAATGAAAATAACTAAAAAAAATTTATAAATGTAATTGAAATAATTTCATACTTCAACTAATTTTCTTCCCATTTAGAAGTAGCTAAAATTTTTATGAATGTAATTGAAATAATTTTATAATTTAAATAATTTTTTAAAACTCCACCATTTATTACTCTACCAAAGTTATAAATGTCATACTTGGATTGGTCTATGATGTAAATTTTGCCGATAGTCCATGATGTCAATTTTTTCATCACATCATCACGTTGGGTATCTTATTTTGAATTCGATTGGTCCATCATGTTAATTTTGCCGCCACATCATCACGTCGGGTATCTTGTTTTGACTGAAACTTGTTCGTTTTAGCTCTCATTTGAGTAAACAAAAAAAGACATTGAAATCGTTATTCCCAACCTTACACTGTGGACAAAATACTGATAATTGTTAATAATTGAACGTAGGTTTGTTATCATCAAAACATCAATTAATTAATTTGAGATTAAGGGCGAAAAGGCCAACAATCTCCCCTTTTTGATGACCCATTTTTTATGACGACAAACCATTTCAAGAAAAATGACATGAAATCCATAAAACTTACAATAATGCATATGTCCAAATAATAATATTGATGCATCAGGATAGAAATTCTAATATATCATCGTAAATTTGAAATTCACTCAAATCCATATTCTCTCTATATAGCTTTAATGAATTATGAAACATCACAACAACGAAGTGATTCATTAATTATAAAATAACAACGAAGTGATTCATTAATTATTAAAATAACAAACTTAGAACATATTTTCCCTAATTTTCAACCACTATGTAATCATAAAAAAAGAACAATAAAAAATAATAAAAGAATGACATGCTCCCCTTACGAACATACATTTAAATAAGATTATAAAATTCAAGATATATCACACCGAGTAATACCAAACTCAAATTCAAGATATATCCCGAATAATACCAAGCTCAAGCCTATTTTTGCAAAAAAATTCTTCGGCTTGTAAAAATATTTGCTAATTGATTATTAGAGTTTACAAAATCAAGAATAATAGGTCCATTTTGCACATGCTCTCTGATCAAATGATGTCTAATGTAATATGTTTAGTTCTATAATGATGAACAAGATTTTTGGTTAAATTAATAGCACTAGTGTTATCACAAAATATAGACACTATCAAATTTTAATCCATAATCACAAACAGTTTGTTTCATCCAAAGAATTTGAGCAAAACAACTAACAACAGCAATATATTCCGGTTCTGTAGTAGATAAGACAATCGAATTTTGCTTTTTACTAAACTAAGAAACTAATGAACTACCAAGAAATTGACAAGTTCCACTAGTATTTTTACGATTAAGTAAACTTCCCGCAAAATCCGCATCAGAATATCCTACTAATTTAAACTCAACATGTGTACGATACCACAATCCTAAATTAATAGTCCCAAGCAAATATTTAAATATTCTTTTAACAGCATGTAAATAAGATTCCTTAGGACAAGATTGAAACTTAGCACAAAGACATACACTAAACATAATATCAGGTCTACTAGCAATCAAGTAGAGTAAAGATCAAATCATACCTCGATAAGATTTTATATCTACACATTTACCTTTTTCATCTTCTCAAGCTTGGTAGATGTGCTCATTGGAGTTTTTGCAATCTTACATTCATTGAACTTGAACCTTTTGAGTAAATCCTTGGTGTATTTCTGTTGATTTAGGAAGATATCATCTTTCAGTTGTTTGATTTGAAATCCAAGAAAGAAACTGAGCTCTCCGATCATACTCATCTCAAACTCATTATGCATACATTTAGAAAATTCTTCACATAAAAGAAGGACGAATAGAATCAAATATAATATCATCCACGTATATTTGCACTCATAGCATATCTTTTTCTTTAATTTTAATAAAGAGAGTATTGTGAGCTTACCCATTTTGAAATCATTCTCATTAAGAAAATTACTAAGTCTATCGTATCAAGCTCTTGGAGCTTGTTTTAAGCCATAAAGAGCATTTTTAACTTATAGACATGACGTGGAAAATCAAAATTTTCAAATACGAGGTTTTTTTACATGAACTTCCTCTATAATATAATCATTTAAGAATGCACTTTTCACATCCATGTGATATAATATAAATTTTGTGTAAAAAGCAAATGCAAGTAACATTTTAATAGCTTCTAATCTAGCAACGGGTGCAAAAGTTTCTTCATAGTCTATACATTCCTCCTGACAATAACCTTTAGCTATAAGTCTAGCTTTATTTATAATGATATTTCTATTTTCATCAATTTTATTTGTAAAAACTCATTTCTATCCAATAATGGAAATATTAGAGGGTTTAGGGACTCGTTCCCAAACTTTGTTCCTTTTAAATTGATTTAGTTCTTCTTGCATAGCTAAAATCCAAAATTAATCGTTTTCGGCATCCTTGAGACTTTTTGGTTCAATTTAAGAAACAAAAACAAGATTATTAAATAAATTAATAGAGGAACGAGTTTTCACACCTTATTCGGGATCACTAATAATCAAGTCCTTGAGATGAGATGAGGCATACCTCCATACTTTTGACATTGATAAAGTTCCTTCCTTTCATTTAAGTTCACTTTTCTTTACGTGTAAGAGTTTCTTTTCCTTTGTCACTAACAAGTAAATCTCCGAAATTTTTTTCTAAATCATCACCGTAAATAGACTCATTAGAAATATCAAGATTCATCAAATACCACGTGCATAGATTCTTGACTAAAATTCTTTTATTGAAAACTGTATAAGCTTTACTAGTAAATGAATAACCGAAAAATACCAATATCGGTCTAGAATTAAATTTTTCCAGCTTTTCTTGTTTGTTCAAAATCAACTAAAAACTAAAAACTTTGAAATACCCAATATTTGAAATTTTATTATACGAAAGTTCAAGGAGTTTTATCTAAATACGTCTAATTAAAACTCTATTTGAAACATAACATGCAGTATTAACGGCTTCCGCCAAAAAAATATTTAGGTAAATCATATTCATTTAACACTGATTTAGCAAATTCTTATAAGATACTATTTTTTCTTTCAACCACACGGTTTTGTCGAGGAGTCTTCCAAGAGAAGTCTTGATAAAAACCATTTTCTCCCCAAAAATTTTCAAATGCTCTACTATCCAATTCTCCTAAGTGGTCCCTCCTAATTTTAGTAACTAAAAAACCTTTTTCATTTTTACAGCAAATCTTTTCAAAACATCATTTTTATGTTTTATCATCAAAACTCAAATAAATCTACAAAAATCATCTGAATATCAAAAGACATAGCTATTCCCTCCCTAGCTATTTTAGAAGGACCAAATAAGTCATATGTAATAGTTGAAGAGGTCTATAGAAATCACGTCTTTGGACAATCATTTATAGGACAATCATTTAAAATATTTTTATAAGACAATCAAATGACATTTATAGGACAATCGGAGGCTTTCTTGGGCTGCCTCACTGAGATGTAATAGTTGAAGAGGTCTATAGAAATCACGTCTTTGGACAATCATTTATAGGACATGATAAGACATTTATAGGACAATCGGAGGCTTTCATGGGCTGCCTCACTGAGAGTATGCCTCCCTCCAACTTGGCAGAGATCTTGTAAATATCGACGTCGGCTGGAATATCGATTTCCTTGCGGAATCGGATACACTTGCCGCAGTTGACCCTTCGTTCGCCGCTGATCCTCAACTTTAAGGTGCATGTCACCTGAACTTTCAGATCGTTGCTTGTGAAATCTGGAGAAAAGATCCATGATCATTCCCTAAATTAGCAGATGTGGGACTTTCATCATCTAACACCTCCCCTCGAACAAAGTGCACCTCCCCTTAATCGAGGCTCGATTCCTTTGGAGTCTTAGTTATTTTTGACTACTAGGCTTGACTCCATTTTCTTTTTAAGTCCTTTGTTCGATGTTGGAGGATTTATCAATCTATTGGCACGACTAAGTTTAGGGCATGACTCTGATACTATGTTAGACGAACACAACTCTCCACAATGGTATGATATTGTCCACTTTGAGCATAAGCTCTCGTGGCTTTCCTTTGGGTTTCCCCAAAAGGCCTCGTAACAGTGAAGAGTATTCTTTGTTTATAAAAACCATGATTATTCCCTAAATTAGCAGATGTGGAACTTTCATCATCTAACACCTCCCCTATAACAAAGTGCACCTCCTCTTAATCGAGACTTGACTCCTTTGAAATCTTAGTCATTTTTTCTTGCCTTCGAGGAGGCTTGACTCCTTTTTCTTTTGGAGTCGATGTTTGAGGATTTACCAATCTATTAACACGACTAAGTTTAGGGCATGCCTCTGATAGACAAACACGACTCTCCACAATGGTATGATATTGTCCACTTTGAGCATAAGCTCCCGTGGTTTTGCTTTGGGCTTCTCCAAAATGCCTCGTACCAATGGAGAGTATTCTTTGTTTATAAAACCATGATTATTCCCTAAATTGGCATATGTGAAACTTTCATCATCTAACAGTAAATTCAAATTTTCATAAATTAAAAATGGTTTGTTTTTTCAACTATTTAATTTAATTTATATTTTATTTTTAAGCTATTTGATCGAAGATTTAAGTTCAAATAAATGAAAATTATAAATTTAAATTTAAAAATATATATTTGTTTACCATATAATATTAATTTATTTTTAATAATATATAACAATTTGGAAGGTTATTTTTTAAAATATATTAAGATTAAATGGTGAATTTTAATTATATATGTATGTATGTATATAATTATGAATTAATATTTTCACAAAAGAAGGGGAAAATGTCAAACCTTGGACGGCGACGGTAAGAACATGAAACCCGGGATAATATTTGCACTTGATTTGAGGCGTAATATCCTGAAAGGTTTTGGATGAAGGATCCATCGACATTGCGTTCGATTTTCCTCTCTGATAATTCTAATTTCTCTTCGCTCTAACTTCTCTTGATGACGATTTCTTTCGATGTTTTCGCGGTAATCTTTATATTGAATGGAGATCTTGATTCGAAACTGTTTTTGAAAACCTAGAAATTTCTTCGGGATTAGTAATTCCTTTGCTTGAAGCTTTCTTTGTACTTCGACCATGACGGTTGTTTCGATCTTGATTCGAAATCCGCATTCTATGAAGTTGCGATCGTAAATAGGAATTTCTTTGGGATAGTAATTCCTTCGCTTGAAGCTTTCTTTGTGCTTCGGACATGGCGATTGTTTGATGCAGAGGGTTAAGAGATGTGTTGTTTTGGTCACTTTGTCCCTTGATAAAGTGAAGATTCTTTTTGTTTCTTTTTGGGAACATGCTTCGTGATGTAATCTGAGCTTTGATTCAAGTTATTGTAATTCGATAGGTCTCGTCTATTTTGATTATAGTTCGTTTAGAATTTTTTCGTTTCGATTTCACCCCTATTCTTATAAAAAAAATCTATTGTTCTTTTGACGATGAACCACTCTAGGACTAAGCTGAAGGAACTTTTACGCTTTATTTTCAGTGCCTATGGACGATTCCCATGTGATAGAGAGAAGATCGAGAAGTAGTATAGGTATTATTTTAAATATAGGCCCTAAAAGAAGAATGATATTTTTGAACCGAAATTAATGAACATTTTTAAAATTAAAATATTATTAACGGTTAAATAATATTTTTGAAATAAAATAATAAATATTAGTACTTTTTTCTTTTATAGATTTTTTTAGTTTATTATTGATACTTATGAAATAGTATAGTTATTTTTATTAATTTAGTCTATTATAAATTCGAAATTAAATTTGTTAAATAATATTTTATAAATTCAATATATATATATATATATATATTTTTGAAATGGTAAGCAATTTTATTAATTTAGTCTATTATAAATTCGAAATTAAATTTATTAAATATTTTTTTTATAAATTTAATGAAGACTATATATACGTGTGATGCTTAGAGGTATTTTTATTAGTTTAAAATATTATAAATTCGAAATTAAATTTATTAAATATTTTTTATAAATTCAACAAAGTATATATATATATAATACGAGATATTTTTATTAATTTAGTCTATTATAAATTCAAAATTAATTTTATTAAATATTTTTTTATAAATTCAATGAAGAATATATATATATATATATATATATGATATTGGCATTTTTATTAATTTAGTCTATTATAAATTTAAAATTAAATTTATTAAATATTTTTTTAGGTAGAGGTATTTTTATTAGTTTAGTCTATTATGAATTCGAAATTAAATTTATTAAATATTTTTTATAAATTCAACCAAGTATATATATACTTTTGAAAGGGTGGAGATATTTTTATTAATTTAATCTATTATAAATTTGAAATTAATTTTATTAAATATTTTTTTATAAATTCAATGAAGAATATATACATTTTTTTATTAATTTAGTTTATTATAAATTTAAAATTGAATTTACTAAATATTTTTTTATAAATTTAATAAATTTAATGGTATTTTTATTAATTTAGTTTATTAATATCTAATAAATTCAATAAATATATATATATATATATATATAATATTGATATTTTTATTAATGTAGTCTATTATAAATTCGAAATTAAATTTATTAAAATATTTTTTTATAAATTGAATGAAGAATATATATATATATATATATATATATAATATAGACTTGCATCTTCACTCCAACTAAAACGGTGTGCAATAATAACGAACATTATCCCGTTCATCAATTGGCCAATGGCTGAAAATCCTTCAGAAAAAATTTCTTCTATCGTTTCTTCTCTGCAAAATTCTATCTTCTCCATGATTGATTTCCAGAGTTACACGCCTTGATTTCAATTTTCCGCTTCAAGAAGAAGAATCTGATTTCGCCATTTCCTCGTTCTGCGCGAAGGAATCAGCCATGGAGGTTGCGGGAATTTCTTCTGCTCAGCTAATTCATTTCCCAACCACACTCCACAGAACCCTAGCCTGCAATTCCTGCTGTGTTGCCTCGCATCGGAATCCGCTGCCGAGATTGAGATCATCATCTTTCAATTTCAAAACCGTGACGCATCGAAATGTGTTGAGGAAGTGCGAGTTGATTCGCACGGCTTTGGCGTCCGATGTCGTTGGTACAGATCAGCCCGAGATGGAGGAGGAGAAGGAGAAGTTCGATTGGTTTGCGGAGTGGTATCCGGTTATGCAGGTGTGCGATTTGGACAAGAGAGTGCCGATTGCGAAGAAGGTGTTAGGGTTGGATTTGGTGGTGTGGTGGGACAGGAATGAGAATGCATGGAAGGTGTTTGATGATAGTTGTCCGCATAGATTGGCGCCGTTGTCCGAAGGAAGGATCGATCAGTGGGGGAGGCTACAGTGCGTGTACCATGGATGGTGCTTTAATGGCTCCGGTGACTGCAAATTCATCCCTCAAGCGCCCCCTGATGGCCCTCCGGTAACAATTTTATTTTGCTCCATTTTAATCTCTGTTCCTTTGAAACGTTTGGATTGTTGCACTTTTAAAAAGTGACGTTTTGATCCCTTTATTTTCTTTTTTAGATCACTTTTTTTAAAAGCAAAACCAAAATAGAAGTTGAAATTTAAGAGAAGTGATTTGATTGGTATGATCATAGATTAATCTTATATGCATTATGAAGTATCAAAAATTTTGGAAAGAGCTAAAGTTCCAGATTCAACTTATTGGATGATGAAAGTCTCACATCGGCTAATTTAGGGAATGATCATGGATTTATAAACAAAGAATACTCTCTCCATTGGTGTGAGGCCTTTTGGGAAAGTCCAAAGCAAAGCCATGAGAGCTTATGCTCAAAGTGGATAATATCATACCATTGTGGAGAGTCATGTTCATCTAACACGACTTAGCATTTTTTCATTCATTCTCATCCAATTCGTTGCTTATTAGTATCTGAGCAATTCTTCCCGCGGCGAACTTCCCTCCTGTGTCAACAAACCATCACCCATTAATACAACACCAACATTATTTAATTCTAAATTTAGAGCTATGCCTATAGTACCTTCTTCAAATTCGACTAATTCACTTGCCATTACTTCATCAAGACCATAAATACTAGCATGCTATCGCCTACTTGAAGTACAATACCGGCATTTACAATTTTCACTTAAATATAAAAACACAAAGTAGAAAGATTAAACAGTTGTTTTGATCTTTATAGACTTAAACAAATGCTTAAAGTGTGTATATGGGTTATAAAATCATAATAGTTTATGAACAAATTTGATCCCTAATCAATTATCAAATGATATTTTTTTACGATAGGGACTAAATCATTATAATAGTAAATTTAGGGACTAAATTGTTATTAATTAAAGTTCAAGGACTTACTTCTTTAAAAATTCTAGACCATAAGTGGTTTTATGGAGAATAATTATCTTTCATACATAACAAGATTGCAGGCTGGATTTACAAATATCATGAACATTTACATGAATTGATATTATATGCAGGTTCACTCATCCAAGAAGGCATGCGTCGCTGTGTATCCAAGCACAGTGCAGAATGGCATAGTGTGGTTCTGGCCAAACTCTGATCCCAAATTCAAAGATGTCATTATGGAGAAGAAACCTCCCTTTATTCCGGAGCTGGACGACCCATCTTATGTTAAGTTAGAGGGAAATAGAGACATGGCCTACGGGTAATCACTTTGAACCCTCTTTCTGATTTTGATGCTTTTTGAAATGTCAATTGCAAAGAATCAAAACGATGTGTGTGAGATCCCACATCGGTTGGGGAGGAGAACGAAACATTCTTTAGAAGGGTGTGGAAAATTCTCCCTAGCAGACGCGTTATAAAAATCTTGAGGGGAAGTCTGAAAGGAAAAGTCCAAAGAGGACAATATCTACTAACGGTGGGCTTGGATTGTTACAATGTGCTAACGCGAATTGAAGTTCTGTTCACTCAGGCTTATGTATCCTTTTTAGGTAATGTTTACTCATTCTAGTGTCAAAATTTGGGAAAGAACCGTCCCCATAGAGATCGAATTTGTGCTGTCATGGATATTCAGACCATGTTTTGCAGGAGTTAACGAACTTCGTAAGGCTAAACCAAAGTTTGACTGATAACTAGATTGTAACAAGAAGGGTGCTGTGTGTGAGGTGATTAGTCACTAGATAATCTTTTGGATGAGAATGGGAAGGAAAATGGTGTTGAAAGTATCTTATTCATTCATCTGAACTTCTTAGTATAGTGATGATTTTATAAGTATCAAAATGATAATGTAAGATCCCATATCGGTTGGACAGGGGAATGAAGAATTCCCTGTAAGGGTGTGGAAACCTCTCCCTAATAGATGCGTTTTAAAATCATGAGGCTGGCGGCGATACTTAACGAGCCAAAATGGACCATATCTGTTAGCGGTGGGTTTGAACTGTTACAAATGGTATCAAAGCCAGACATTGGTCGGTGTGCTAGCAAGGACGCTGTCCCCAGGGGGCGTGGATTGTGAGATCCCACATCGGTTGGAGAGGGGAATGAAGCATTCCTTATCAGGGTGTGAAAAACTCTTCCTAACAGACACGTTTTAAAACCATGAGGCTGATGGCGATACGTAATGGGCCAGGGCGGACAATATCCATTAGTGGGTGGGCCTAGGCTGTTATAGATAAATTATGAGCTTGAACCCTCACGATGTCATTTTCTGCCCTATGCTAGTAGTGATATCCTAATCCGATTACTTGTCATTGAAAATTGGCGTTTTTTCAGGTATGAGATACTGATTGAAAATCTTATGGACCCTGCCCATGTTCCATACGCGCACTACCGGATAATTCAAGCCCCACCATCACTGAAAAACAGATATCTTTGCCAATTCTATCTTCTCAACTGTTGCATTTAAGGCTCTCACATGGATTGCTTTGACTAACAACAATCATGTGTTCATTCACAGTGAAAGTTGACAGGGAAGGCGGCAGACCACTGGATTTGATTGTTGAAAAGTTGAAACCAGATGGTTATG